TAGCCAGGATGGTCTCGATCTCCTGACCTTGTGATCCGCCCGTCTCGGCCTCCCAAAGTGCTGGGATTACAGGCTTGAGCCACTGTGCCCGGCCCATTCGATGTTTTCTATTAGCAGAAATTAATCTTTTTGATAGTGTTGTTGCATTACTATACATACACTGATAAAAGTCTTTCATGCTGATAAAAAATGAATATGGTGTCTCACGAAGGAAACATTGATTCAGAATGATTTTTTTTTCTCTTGTGTTCTCCAGCTTTTGCCCATGACTCCCTTCTCATGCTTGTTAATGGCAAATTGTACACATCTATTCCAACACAGAGTATAATCACTTCCAAAGTCCTTGTGGATAACTTTTCTCAGAGTAACCTTTCTATGGGTAGGATAACCTTATTGAGCATAGAGAATAGAATTGGAGAAATGTCTTTAGGCTTAGTTATTGTCAGAAACATCTATGTATTCTGTGTACATATAATTGACATTTATGAACAAAACTTTTTTAAAAAAATTTGTACATACATACATACATATTCCCTAGTCCGAGCAGTTCAGTGATGAAGAAGGGGAACCACCAAAACCTGAAGAAGGAGAACCAGGAAATCAAAGTCAGGATCCTGCACCTGCTCAGGAGGGAGAGGACAAGGGAGCATCTGCAGCTCAAGGTGAAGGAAAAGGGAAGAAGAATGTCTGTTGGGGTGTGTGTGTGTGTGTGTGTGTGTGTGTGTGTGTGTGTGTGTGTGATGCATTGTCATATACCAGGAACAGGAGGAAAGAAAACAATGGAAAGAATGCCTGAAAATTGACTGGAAAAGTGAAGAGGGTATAGTTTGCAGCTTACCTTAGGGAAATCCTTCACTATGATAAAATTTCTCCACTTTATGAATGAGAGAATGGAGGCTCGGGGATTGTGTTTTATCCAAGAACACTTGACTGGTGAATACAAAATTTATATTTTGTTCCAAAGTTTGTGACTTACTACCGTATGTGTTCCTGTAAAAAAAGTAACTGATTTTGCTGAAAATGCTTAAAACTCAAATGCTTTACTGTAAGGTACCTTAGTAGTGGCCCAAGAATAGACCCATTACAGAGGGGTAGGAGCAATTCCAAAAGCCGAGTCACTGAATGTGGCCACCGTTTCCTTTGATTGATATTTTTATATGGTAAGTTTGATACAAGCCGGATAAATCAGGATACTGCCATACAGGTAACTGGTTTAGTATGATTTTTTTAAGTGACTTTTAAGAGGTGATTAAATCTTTTTATGGTTAGAAAAACCAGAAAAGAGGCCCGGTGTGGTGGTCATGCCTGTAATCCCAGCACTTTGGGAGGCCAAGGTGGGTGGATCACGAGGTCAGGAGATCGAGACCTTCCTGGCTAACACGGTGAAACCCCGTCTGTACTAAAAATACAAAAAATTAGCTGGGCGTGGTGGGATGCACCTGTATTCTAAGCTACTCAGGCGGCTGAGGCAGGAGAATCACTTGAACTCGGGAGGCAGAGGTTGCCGTGAGCTGAGATCACGCCATTGCACACTCTGGCCTGGGCAACAAGAGTAGAACTCCGTCTTAAAAAAAAAAAAGTGAGTTTAAGTCAGATTTTAAAAATCATTTTCCATTCTGTTTTTTTCCATACTCTGATCCTGTTGGATAGAATGCATAGGATTCTGCTTTGCATGGTTTGTTTATCGTAAATCATTAAACTCTGGCCTGAGTCATCTTAAAACATCTGAATTGAGCTTTCTTTTTTTTTTTTTTTTTTTTTTTTGAGATGGAGTCTCGCTCTGTCGCCCAGTCTGGAGTGCAGTGGCCGGATCTCGGCTCACTGCAAGCTCCGCCTCCTGGGTTTACGCCATTCTGCTTCAGCCTCCCGAGTAGCTGGGACTACAGACGCTCGCCACCTCGCCCGGCTATTTTTTTGTATTTTTTTACTAGAGACGGGGTTTCACCGGGTTAGCCAGGGTGGTCTCGATCTCCTGACCTCGTGATCCGCCCGTCTTGGCCTCCCAAAGTGCTGGGATTACAGGCTTGAGCCACCGCGGCCGGCCGAGCTTTCTTTCCTATTAAGAAAGTGAGTGGGCACCCTGTTTCATGTTTGTTTTTCTACGTGGAGACCTGAATATCTATTCTTAGATTCTATCAAATTCTGAATTCTCTTGCTTTTTTAAAAAAAATTATGTTTTAAGTTCTGGGATACATGCGCAGAACATGCAGGTTTGTTACATAGGTATACACATGTCATGGTGGTTTGCTGTACCCATCAACTCGTCATCTACATTAGATATTTCTCCTAATGCTATCCCTTCCCTAGCCCCCTACCCCCCGATGGGCCCCAGTGTGTGATGTTCCCCTTCCTGTGTCCATGTGTTCTCATTGTTCAACTCCCAGTTTGAGTGAGAACATGTGATGTTTGATTTTTTGTTCCTCTGTTAGTTGAGGTTTCCAGCTGAGAATGATGGTTTCCAGCTTCATCCATGTCCCTGCAAAGGACATGAACTCATCCTTTTTATGGCTGCATAGTATTCCATGGTATATATGTG